TCTAGCTAAAAGAATTGGGACTGGCCACCACGACTGTTAGAAATTATTACAATGACTCCCAACCCACGCCCAAAAAATTCAGCGCTGTGGATGCTTCGGTTGCGGAGTTACGTCAATTTTCACGCGTTCATGCGTCGGTGGAACGTGAATGACTTCTTTGCCTGCGGTTGCTTAAATACGGTCCTGGGTAACGCTCAGATGCTCTGGTTGCAGAGTTACGTAAAATTTCACGTGTTCGTACGTGAGTGGCAACGTGAATGCTTTCTTCGCCCGCGCTTGCTCAAATACGGTCCGGGTAACGCTCTGAAAGTTTCAGCACTCCAGCTGTTTTGGTTGCAGAGTTACGCCAAATTTCACATGTTCGTACGTGAGATGCAGAAGAGCTGACAAGTAATTTACTTTCTCGGACACAACAATAGGTGACAAGTAACACTGCAAAATTGCAGCTCTCTGCAACTTATTGGTCAGTTTAAATCTGGAACTGGCGTGGTGCCAATTCAAACTTTAACGTGTGCGTACGTGAGACCTGAGGGTGCGTGAATGCCGAATTTGAAATCTTTGGATTGGACGCAGTCAAGCAACAACTCTGTGAAGTTACAGCCTCCTAACATGGGCTGTTGTCGAAAACGCTTTCCTGCCAAAAAAACTTTCACGTGCCCGTACGTGAGAACCACGCGGAACTGAGAGTTCATTTTGAGAACAGGAGCCGGCACGTATGTGTAGATTAAGTTACCAAGGTTTCAGCCTTGTAGTTTTTATGGATCTCGAGATGAAAACTCGTTACAGACGAACACACAGACACATACACATACACATAAATACATACATACGCACGCAGACACACATACACACACAGACAACCTCGCGACAATATGCCTTCTTGCATTGCATAGCTGCAAAAAACGCATTAAAAAATTTGACTGTTGATGTATTACTACAAACAGATATCACTGTTCTCCCCGGCACAGCTAGTGCCCGCTCTTCAACTTTCATCAATGACCACGTTTCACATCCATATGTCATTGCCTTCAGCACAGTGGTATTGAATAGGGCGCACGGTCGATTTGTCCCAACTTTTATAGGAATTAGCAATGCTATGAAATTTGCAACAATTGCCATTTATACGAAAGTTTATACTATAAAATGAAGTGATAGAATTCGACAATACAGAAATCGGAACTGTTTTCGCTTTGAGCCATGTAAAAGAAGTAAATTTCAAAAAAAAAAAAAAGAAGTGATGCATTACAGAAAATGAAGTTTCTTCACTTCTCGTTATGAGCGTCATAAGTTTGCTTGTAAACAGCCCTCAAATGAAGGAGTCATCGATAGCCTTGCCAACCCTCATATGAGGCTAATATTGGCAGGTTCCCCCACACGCACGAGGACTTGGAATTTAACATAACTCCATAATCAAAGCAGTCGAAGTACCAAAATTTTCTTAGTTTGACCCACGGCTAAGCTAATTCTCAGTTTCACTTAGCCTGTTCGCGCAGGTGCACGTGAAAACAACACCCGCGCCTTTTTCAAGTATGAACACGCGTGAAATTTGACGTAATTTCGCAACCAAAGCATCCAAGGTGCTAAATTTTCTGTTGATACTTGCCACCTCAAAATATTTACGGGTACCTCCGCTTCTCAAAGTGAACAAGAGAGAAGTACAGACTTTTGCCTTTAAATAGCCATAATTTCTCCACGATTGTTTTTTCCAGAAAAAATATGAGACTATAAAAGATAAGGTTAAAAATACATGATATGCTTAGATCACAGAGTGCTTATAACAATGGGCAAGCAATTAACAAAATGAAGAAATCGATTAAGAAAATGAAGATGGTTAAGAAAGAATAAATTTCAAGATGATTTTCGAAGCACGGTTTGCGTCACCTTGTACTTTTGAATTGCCTTGGATAAGCTTTTAGACCTGCACCCATTTTTTGCGTATAGTAATTGAATCATCGTTGAATATCCTACCAGAATCTGAGGTTCTTCTACAGGAAAGTACAAAACTCGTACTATACTTCTGACATTATGTTATGGATTACTCAAGTCTCAGCGAACTGAACCTATTTTTTCTCAAAAAAAGCCTCCAACCTCTACAAAAAATTCCCTCAAAATCTTCAGAAATGCGCCTATTAAACGAACTCAGATCACCCTGAGACCCCAAAAACGGCAAATTTTTTCAAAATGCTTCTAACAAATTGCACAAGATTCTGACCGAATCCAGAAACAAAGAACACTCGGCCTGGGGCATCAAATAAGAGAATATCCGCTTTTTGCCGGAAAAAAAAGAAGCCACATTAGAAGTTTCCGAATTTTTTACAAAATTCCGTGGGGCGGCCAATTCCTCCTTATTATTCGCTTTGACAATAGATTGACACCAAATGTACCAAGGAGCCAGACTTGCTACTCCCTTACTTTTAAGCAATTTTCGGAAGAGTGGGCCATCGACATTTTTGCCAGCAGGTGGTTGCTACTGGCATTTGCTACCACTCGGGCTATTTCCAATCGCCTCTGCCTCTTATAGAGGACTAATATGGGAAGAGCGACTTGGCTTTTGACTCTGACACAGACTCATCATTCTATCATAATTGCACTTATTGCAATCAGAATTTGATACAAATGCATCTTAAACAAGAAGAAAAAAGAGGAAAATGAAGTGACCAAAGACAATAAGTAAAAGTTAAGCGCATAAGAGTGGACAAAAAAAAATATCGAGAAGGAATCAATATGAAGAAATAAAAGCTCAGTATCGCGCAGCACAGCACACCAAAAAAACAAGCTTTTTAGAGAAATAAAAATATGCAAATTAAGCGGTAAGATGAAAGAAGTTTTTTGAATTTTGTTAAAAATTACAGGCAATATGTTTGTTGTATTGGTCCTAGTAACATCACTAACATGGAATACCCACGCCGATTATCCGGGCTGTCTTATATTCCCATGTAACGCAAAGGTACAGCTGTTGCAGCCGACAGTATTGGTCAAAACAAACTAAATGACCAGTCTAACTGATCTTATAAAATTATCAGGGCTAAATTAGCCAAAACTTAACGAAATTTAAACAGCTAATTTCTCTCCCTCAGATCCTAAAACCCGAATAATATGAATTGAATTCGAATTGAAATAATAAAATTCGAATGGAAATAATAATCTGAATAATCCAATAAATTCCTAAAAAAATAAACCAGTGGGTTCTTGCACAAAACAATTATCTAAATTTATATGTTATAGAAAATTATGGAAATGGAAATACAATATGAAATAATGCACTAATATGTAACGGAAAGGGGATAAATATCAAAAAATAAGCAAATATCGTCTTTCAATAACATAAATGCTTGAAAATACTCTATCGAAGGTGTGTGGTACCACATTCAGTACTGCTCGAAATTACTTTTTTTTAAATATTTTTTTCCACAGATCTAAAACGGTACTGACCAAATTCAGGCGCTAAATACTACTTCCAGCTTGGTTTAGTAATATCACAAGAAGAGCACTACACCGGGGTATCCACACCGACTGCTCAGGCGTTTCGGACATAGTGATTAGATTCATGGGCGGATCCAGCACGGCTTCCTGGGATGGAAGTGGAGGGGGAAAGGGAAGGGCAAGGGGGAGAGGGGAGGAAGGAAGGGCAGGG